ACCGGAAATAGGCGAAGCGGGATGCCAGAGAATATCAGAAAAACTTTACTGAATCGTTTATCCTAAATGAATTAAATATCTGGAATTGGAAAGGTTGTCTTATACAAAAAACAAGTTTCGGAATATATATCGACATTATTTTAAGAAAGTGAGTCTCGATAAAGAAATCTGTCAAACATGTATTTTAGAATTAGAAACCAAGCTCTATACAACAAATATAAAAAAGAATTATCTTTTTATCATCTTCTGATTGAATCGAACAGTCTAACATTTTTTCAGGAAATTTTAAAAATATCGTTTATAGCAAATAGAGATTAATAAAGAATGAATTTTTATAATTTTGGAGTTTTTCGTTTATTTTGAGTACTTTTGTTTATTTTTACATTGGTCCTCTTTATTCGTCTTAATGGAAGACGAGAAAGAAATAAAAGAAAAAAAATGCATTCTTAAAATAATCAATATGATGTAGTATATTATTAACGATCAATATTTATCTTATTTGATAAAAATAAAATTATTCTTACTTGAAACTTTAACATCATATGTTATGTAAACAAGAGATTTATTTGAATAAATACATCTACCGACATAATTATGAACATGAACTTGTTCAATAAAAATCAAATGATAATTTGTAATATTTATTATTCTTAGAAATATTATTAAAATTGATTGATAAAAATTTAAATGATCTTTTTTTGTCTCTTAGAATTCTATATCATATTTAAGGTTTTTTCTGTACTCGGTACAATAACTGCTATATCTGGAACTGCAGTTCCTGATCGTACGCAAGAAGCTCAACGTGGTGCACAAATTGGTCAATCTATTACATCAGTTCTTTTGTACGGACTTGGATTATGGGTCGCTTATCGATATAATGAAACAGGTTTACGTATAGTATGTTTTTACTTTTTTTTCATAAATAATAAGTTGAATACTATTGTCTAAGAAAATAATTTATTTCGACAAATCTTCATAGAACAAAAAAATATTATTAAAAAAAAATAGATGTTAATTTAAAATATTCGTTTTAGTCTTTCTATAAGAAAATAAAATATTTTCAAGTATTATTGAGATAATTCGATATTTTTTTTTCTCTTAAATTATTCATACTCATAAACAATTGATCGAAACCATTGAGTTGAAGAATCTAGTTCAAATGATGTTTCATAATAAAAACATCAATAGACAATAAAATTATTTTGTTAATACTACTTTATGATAGATCTTCAGTAAACTCAATACTTTTCATTTGTTTTACATTGAAAATATCAATAAAATGAATGAATATTGAGTTGATAGATTCGTGAGAAAAAAAAAAACTATAAAAATCAATTATTGATAAATATCTTTGTTAGAAAATCTTCTAGATAGAGATTTATTTTTGAACATTTCTCGAAATGAGCTAAAATAAAATATTAAATAAATAGTTTATCAATAAAATACTTTATTTATATTTAATTTCTATAGTTTGCTTGGATCGGCATAATAGCAATGGTTGTATTTAGTATTGTAATTATTATTGTTATTGCCTTGATTATTCGTATCTTAGTTTCTTCTCAACCAGACCATAAGAATCTCAAGGTTGCTTTTTCAATAAGTATTGTCGTTGTTGTTATTGTTTGTATTGCTGCTTACATACTTACAGTAATTATATTATATCATATCCATTTATATATATATTATAGTTATATGAATTTTTAGATAATCATTATAAAATTGTCCTTCAAATTGGCTAAACAAATTGAATCAAAAAAGTCTTTAGCCACACCACAAATCTAACATTTATTATTATCATTTGAACTTAGATTTAGTTTGTTTTTTGTTGTTTTTCTTCTTTTGAAAAGAACTCTATAAATAAATGTTAAAGATCATTTCTTGATCGACACACACACATATTTCATTGAAAAGAAAAATTATTTATTATTTCGAAGACAAATTTTAATCGGTTATACTTATTAAAATAGAATAAACATAGGTGAAACTATCTTTAAATATAATTAAATTAATCAATATCATTTATAAGAAAAGAATGGACATGGGTCTGCGTGCAGGTACAGGGATAAAGAAAGTCATCCCTAGTGCCTGTACTCTAAATAATACAATTAAAATATTGTAATATGAATATGCCAAGTCTTGTTCTGACTGAATCGAACAAGGAACTATTCATTCTTATATAGGATTAGAGCCCTATGAAGTGCTTAATTTCACAACCATTTTTCCTTATTAACCTACACCAAAACTGGGTCGGACATGGATACGGTCGATTACTGAATTCATGACCAAAAAAATGAGTAATTTTGTAAATAGCGCTTTGCTTCAAAATTCCGATCGACATCCTATGAAAATGTTAATTTTAACATGTTCTATTGAATTATATATGATTCAATAGGGTTACTTTGGAAAATTCTGATAAATCGGTTTCGACTCCTATGCACTCCCCTCCTTTAATAATTTAGACCAATCACAAAACAGATTTTCTTTATCTTGATTCTTTTGAAATGTACATATGAATCATTCTCTACTGTACAAACATTTTTACCCATTTTTATTTATTTGAGGAAAAACAAAAAATCTATACAGTTGATTTATTTCTAAAATGAGTTTTCGATTTGAATTATTTTCAACAGAAATCTTATATGAAATATTTGATTATTTATCATCTTATGATATATTTCATGTTTTTATTAATCTCAATCATCGTTTATATAATATTATTAATGTATATACATTAAAAGTTGATTTACAGAATATTTCTCGATTAAAATTTGATTATATTTGTTATTATCTTCGACCTGAACAAGTCATATCACTTATATTCTCTGACGATGATATGAGTGACTAAGTTATTGTTTTTCAACGATATTTTTCACATTTTAAATATCAATTTATTAATCTTCGTTGTATAAAATTTATTCGAACAGATGATATTCTATCTGATTTATCATATTCAGTTTCAGCTCTTACATTTCAAGGTTGTACGTATGTTAGTCAACTTTTTGTTGAAACTATTGTAAAACAAGCCAACTCTTTAACTTATTTGAAAGTCGATTGTATTCATTTATTGCAATTAATTAATATTGCATTTCCTTCTCTCACTTATTTGCATATTGGTCATGTTGGAATGAAAATTTTCTGTTGTTTTTTAAAAAACAATGAATCGTTTTCCAACGATTATCATTTATTAATTAAAAATCTTCAATCAATTATTTAAAATTTTCTATTGAAAATAAAAACTTCATAGACTATAATTCAGTACTTAATTTTGATTATTTATCTCATTGTCTCACAAATCTTACATTGACTTGTTTAATAAATAAAACTTTTTCATTTTAATTCATTCAACATTATCTTATTAAATTAGTAAATTTAGAATCTTTAACAATTGTTATCAAATTAGATTTAATTGATGGTAAACAATGGGAAGAATTTATTCGAAAAACAAAAATTATTAAATTCAATTTTCAATTTATACTATCCGAAAAAATTAATTTTAGCCAAAATAAAGCCATATTACTTGATTCATTTCGATTAGCATTTTGGCTTAAAGAGAAACATTGGTATGTTGCATGTAATAAACATCACTCGAACCAAAATACACAAATATACGTGTATTCTATAACCTAAGTTTCTGCCGAGGTGTATTAATTATACCAAAGACCGTTATCCACCTTTATCAACAGTACCATCCAACGATGAACAGCGAATATTTTATTCGAGATATATTGAACATTTATTCTTGGATTTTAATAAACCAATTGATGATCTACCAAATTATCGTTTTATTCATGTAAATTCACTTTATCTTAGTGGTTTAACATTACCATCAATAGATAATATTATGTCTATTGTTGATCTTAATCAAATAAAAGAACTTAATATGTCACATATTAAGAATATATCAATTGGTGAAATTCATTTATTACTTGAACATATTCCTAATCTAAATCATTTGATATTTAAAAATTTCATACCATTATTTAAACCACCTTCACACATTTATTCATTTACAATTGAAGAATGAAAATTTTCGGATGACTTGAATTTATTTTGTCGTATGTTTTCCCATGTTAAATCTTTAAAAATAGATATAATTTCACTTGAAATGATGATTAAATTAATTAATCGATTGAAATATCTTGAAAATATTCTTGTTTGGTACAATGTTGAAAAACATGCACCTTTTATTTCAATGAATTGGTTACGACGAAAGAAATTTTCATGTAAAGAAGATGATTATTATATGATTATATCTATTGGGAATAACCGAAAGAAAAGCTCACGTTTTTGATCAAATTTCAATATAACCTTTTTCTTGTTGTATAAGAATTATTCTAAAATAAATTGTCTAATGTTGTCGTTTGAGTGACGCAACTTA